TCGGTAATGACAACAAAAAGGTGGATAATTTTTTCTCTACATATGCCATGTGATTATAGATCTGTATGCCTGTATAACTTGAAAAAAACGCATAGAAATAATATTTTTATTCATTTAGAAACTATTGCAAACAACAGAAAGGAAAATCACTGATTATTTCAATTGTAAATCCTCTTTCTTCGAGCAGTCAATAAATCCAGATTTCTCATTAATTTCATGCATGATTGTGATGGAGTTTGGAAAGACTTCCAGAGCTTGTAAGCATTAACCATCACTTGCAGACATCAAATTTAGAGCTTCCCTTTTTGATACCAGCTAAGAATGAGATACAGTGTACTTCTGCCTCAAGGGAATTTTAAATAACTTTTAAAATTTAGTCATAAGTGGTAACTCGTTTTCTGCAGGAAGTAGGCGTCAGTTGTCACATGTAAACACCTCCACATTGCCTGCAACTCTGATCCTTGGCAATAAATGATATATTTTAGCACACTTGCAAAAATCAGTGGCAATTTCACCTAGTGTTCTCAGCTTGTTTCCATTCAAATTCATTTGGAAACAAAAGTTCTGGTTCTGTGAGTGAAACATTGTTAACATGACAGGAAAATTGAGATTAGCGTCAAACTAACAGATATGATTTTCATTACACCTTGCAGTAAGCACTTGCTTATGCCTTTTTTTATTTACAACCAAACGATCACATATCAGTATTCCTTTCCAGCAAACTGCAAGATCACTGTTAAGAAATTAAGCAAATTAAATTTGAAATGATCAGAAAACCATCACTGATGACACTAATTTAACATTGAGCTTACCCTTGGAGTTTCAGTTTCTGCCTGAAGAATTAAAAATCAAATCACCCACTAATTTCAACTGACACAAACGGGTTTTCGTGTACAAGCAAAATCAAAAAACTGAAGGAGTTAGCAACATTCAGCATGATTCCGTCTTATGTTGCCTTGTCGCTGGATTGAACTCCGCCGCTAACGTAGAACATAACATAGCAACTATAAAATTAATTTAAAACTTTGATTTATTTCACAATTACGTGCGCATTGTCGAAAATTGTACTGACTCTCAGATAGTGCACATCAACGTATTCATCTAAGAAGAGTAATTTA